AGGACGAGACTTGAAGACGACAACCATTGCAGCAGCTTAATCGGAGGTGGTTCGTGACTCTAACTCGTGGACGTAATTAATCGGGAGCCTTCCGAGGCCACATGAACCAGAACTTCACAATCGCCGAAGTCATATTGGCCGCGCTAGCAGGCCATGGAGCGCTTATGTAATGGAAGCTTGTAATTTTGTTTCTTCGATGAGAGATTAATAAAGTGCAAGTTTCTCCATGTTTTATTTGTGTACTTAGTACACTGGCACGCCCGCAATATATATTTCCCCTGGCGCGTAGAGAGATAATAACACGATAACCATCGTTGTTGTTATTATTTTTCGTGTCAAACAATGTGATAAAAAAATATTTATGTTGATAATTGAACGCTGAGCCACGGTGAACCACGCCGAATATGGGCCTATTCTCGCCCATATGGACTTTTATTCGTCGAAATGGGGCTGAAAAGCGGCCCAACATCGGTGCCTGGGGGCGATCTGGGGGCGACGACTGGGCGCAAAACCGCCCCAAGCGCGGAATGTATAGCCGGCTCGCCTCCAGGGGGCGATTTTTATGCGTCTTGGGGGGGGCCAACGGCTGGAGATGCTCTTATGTACAGGTTCTTGTGCGGCCCCAATCCATCCCTCGTGGACCTGAAGACAATTTTGTCCCGTCCGGGTTGCTCGACGGGTACATGTTGTTGTACCCACCAACGGTGAGCTTTATGACTTTTCGCCCTGTTGCGGGGGCGGAGGCGCTGCAGATGGCGAAGATCTCAAGTTGGTGGGAGTTCAAGGAGGTGCCTATGCACACATACAGGATGTCCCTCTCGGGGTTCTGGTTCCACACGGGTGAGAAGACGCAATTTCGGCCCCTTTCCTCGTACATGATGCGCAGCCATTGGCTCTTCGCTACATACACGGCCTTGAACTCATTGTCAACAAGGCGAGCTTGGAGCCGCCCTTGGAATTGTCGAAAACATTTCAGAAACCCAAAATAAACCAACATCCCCCTCACTAGGGACTCCAGCCTGTGCAAGTTCTGACGGACGTTATCTCCACGCTGCACGAGGTCACTCTCAGTCTCACTCCTGCAGCGGTGGTATCCAATGTAGCCCCCACCATCCAGCACGAAGGGGTTGTAGTGGTCACCTTTCTGCTCGTGCTATGGGTGACCTGAACTGGTGGTAGCCCCAGGGCATTCGTGTCGAAGATCTCGATGTGCCTGTAATGGGCTTGCACATCGATTTTGCATGTGCTTTTGTGCCCTAGGCCCTAGCACATAATGCGTGCCTAGGATCGCACAAGGGGAGGAGGGGTAGCCTGGTTTTCTGGTTCTTTTCTGTTGCGTGGGTGGGTTGGGCCTGATTTTAGATAGGGAGAAAACCAGAACGGGATAGGAAAATCGGTGGGGGCGTGACGGGAAGTCCTTCGATCGATGGTGGAGCCTGGGTACCAATGAGACAACAGCTCATCAATATGTATAGTTGGCATTGCATTAATATCGCCTGATACGTATCATTTCATTAATACTCCCTCCGTTTCAAATTACTTGTCGCTGAAATGGATGTATCTAGAACTAAAATACATCTAGATACATCCATACGTGCGACAGGTAATTCGGAACGGAGGGAGTAGAATAGAAGGAGGATGAAGTACAGGGAGCTACTTCTAATGACATACGCTAGCCGGTGTCCGCATTAAAGGGGCTCAGCCCCATTACTAAGTTTGGTTACAAGGATAATGCGGTATAATCCTTTGGCGTCCGCCCTCGCTCATTGCTGAACTCGTCTTTGATGCGGTCTAATTCCCTCTCAAACTAAGATGTTTGAAAGGAAAAGCGAGCTTAATTCCCGATGAGCCGCCTCACCGGAATCCAAAAAAAGAGGAGTGTGGTCAGAGATACTTCTTTGAAGAGCACAAACCATCACCAGAGGAAATTTCTGCTCCCACACAACACTCATCAAGACATGATTCAACAATTCATAGATCGGTGAGGGTAAACTGTTAGTCAATGTAAACTAACAGCCACGTACAGCTATCTCTCTCAGGTCTATGCTCTCAATAGTGGCATTCAACATAAAAGGCCTTTTCACATTGAAATTATTGTTATTCTTCACTTCCTGTCTTTAAATAATGTTAAAATCACCACCCACCAACATGGGTAGAGACTCCAAACTACAAATCCTAGAAAGCTCAGTAAGGAAGTCGGGTTTAAGCTCAGGCTGGATTGCCCCATAAGCAGCCACAAGAGCCCATGAAAAGCCATCACTTCTCAAGCAAACATGAAATTTGACCACAAAATCACCAACCTCCTTATCCAGAACCACAAGTTTAGAATTATTCATACCTAGAAAAATTCCCTTGGGTCTTCCCCTTGGTGGTATGAAAACCCACGAGTACTCAAGAACACCACATAAGAAGTCTAGAAAATGTGTGGCGAAATTCGAACAACCCGTCTCCATGAGAGCAATGAAATACAAATTCTTCTCTCTGAAAGTTCTGAAAGAAACCATCTTTTAGACAAGTGTCGAAGACTTCTCCTATTCTAAAAATATTCCACTCATTCGTCATGAAACTTCCTTTTGACCTTGTTATGGATACTACAACGCACCGTAGAAAGATCATATTTCTTCTTAGTGCGGGTACAAGACCTTTGAATTCAGAGGTACCAGAGAGTCAACAACATGACTCTTTGGTGCCATGTCCTCCTCAGGATTAAAGTACAAACAAATCTTGGACCATAGGAATTAACAACCCACAGGGATCATCAATCCACGGGAGGTGTCACCACCATGATTTTTTGTAACATAACACAAGCCCTATCAATTTCCAAGTCCACAACTCATTAACCGAAATGGCCACGTCATGTTCGTTAGAACCCAGAGAGATACCCATTCTTGAATCTTTGTCCACAATATCAGAATACGAATAAGAAAGAAATGAATTCTTTTTTAAATGTCATACATGTAGATGATTTGATTTCACAAAGCTTGGCAGCATGCATGACACTCACCGTGCGATGTCCAATGTGTATAACCATCAGTAAAACCCCTCTTCACCAAATGATATTGCAATTCGTCTTTCTATCCAACCATTCTCGTGTTATCACATCTACGACATAGACTACACATCTTTCGTCTGCCATTAACCTCCATGTGTAGGAGGGAGACTTGAACAAACCCTTCCAACTTCTCGACGAAATCATCTGTCGCCCTATTCTCAAACATCCATATTTGAGACATCTACACCAAAGATATATACAATTACTTAGCGCTTCCAAAGGTACAAGGATGCTTAGTCGCATGGAAAAATAATAATAAGGGTGACATAACCGATCTTGCACACACATGCAATTTGTGTTTGCATTGATCAAACTGATGTGGAAGGGTGGATCAGAGGCTTCGGAGAAGCATTTGACTAAGAGCATATAACAAAGACGCAATTATCAAGACATAGGCAGCTCACCGCCTCATTAGCTGGCGAAATGGCGCATGAAGGAATACACACTGCTATTTGTTCAAACGGATTATATATAGGTGAATCATCACTGACGGGCCGGTAAAATACATAGTTAGTGATAACACTGGACAATCCAACATTTTGGTGGGCGAGTCATCACGAACTGACTACAAAAGCAGAGGTCAGTGAAAGTACCTGCACCACTGACTGGCCAAGGAATTCGACCAGTCAATGACGATAAGCCGTTCACTGATGACATAACGTGGTTGATGCCTTGGCTCATCACTGACCACCCATTCATGGCTTCAACAACATATCACCGACGAGCATTTCGTCGCCAGTCAGTGATGAGCCTCATCTCACCCGATGCATGGTGGTCGGTCCGTGTTGTTCACAGTTGTAGTAGTGGACGATGGGAAACTAGAGGCGGTCACTAATTACCAACTGCCTCCAGTATATTTCGCGGGCGGTTTTGTTATCCTGACTGCGTCCAGTACTTTGGATAGGACAAATAACCGCATCGGATGGTGGTATTATAGACGACTTTGTTCTGTTTGGTCACAACCGCTTTTGGGGGGCGCTCCTAATGTTCATTTTTCTATCAGTTAATGTGACAAAATGCCTCTTTTATGTGACAATGAAAGTGCAATCTAGATCACTGCGAACCCCGTGCAACATAGCTAAACCAAGAATATTGATATTGTCATAATTTTCTTCACAATCATGTGGCACACAAAGACATTGAAATTTTGCATGTTGGCACCAAGAAGCAACTTGTCGATATTTTCACCAAGCCACTTGAGGAAGCTATATTCCGTCAGTTAAGCTTAGCGTGCTTGTTCCAATAAATAAGATGCAGCTTGCATGCGTGGTAGTTTATCAGCTCCATATCAGGGGCACAACACCTTCTTGGCATCATTGATACTTTTAGGCAGCACGTTAGGTTCATATCGAGGGACTTGTCCGTGCTATTGGTTTTTGCCTTGATGTCCACAAGATTGATTGTGACACTAAGGCGGGTGTGTTTCAGCTTGCAACCCATGTACAATGGAGTTTTTGAGTCTTTCTGAGAGTCTCCAGTTTGGCTGCCTCTCCACAAGCCCCTCTCTCACTGGTAGTCTCTTCCATAATCAACTCTTGCACATGAGGGTCCTGGACCATTCGGGCCAACTTTCCTCCTATGTGTGGCATGTCCGCTACGGCTTCTTCATGTCCGTTGGACACTTCACTGATTAGGCCTCTTCATGTCCATTAGACTATTCATCATGTCCGGCCTCTTGGTGCTCCATCCCCCTTCTTATTCTGGGTCTACATGCCCCGCTTCTTCATCTGACATCCCACTTGCCATCTTGTACAACCAGGCATGAAACCATTTACAACAAGTGCCGGTGCAACTTGCCAGAGTCAAGTGTATACAGAATAATGTTTCCGCAAACAAAACATGTACAACATATTTTTTTCCGCACCCCTTCATGTCATATGTTGCACCGCAACCTCTAAGAACTTCGTCAAACCTTGAAAGGAATTTTTTTGACACCCAGGGTCTGGTTTTATACGTCCAACTTTGATCCATCTTTCCATTGCCACCTATAACAAATAAATAATTGAATTCATTAGTTTATTCTAAAAAGATGCAAATTTGAATTTTTGGCATGATCTTTGCTAAAATGGGACGTATTGAGTGCTAAAAATTCAACGAAACGAAAATGAATCAGCATTTCGGCGGAATGTTGGCGCTTATTTGTATTCCTTGAAAAAGAAAGACAACAAAGAGGAAGCAAATTCATCGCGAGCAACAAAATGCTGCCTCGGCTCGATGGCCGTGGCATAACACAACCAAATATATGCCCATACAATAGTCATGCGTCATATGTCTTGCAAAAATACTCGCCGAAAAGTATCCAATGTGGTGGTGAAGATTGAATCGATGATGCATCTTAGCTAATTAATTAAGGAAGGTAGCCAGCAAACTTATTATGGAGGGGGTGGGGGTTGTTTAATTTGGTGGGCCCAGCTACTTCCTTCTAGATTAACGAGGGTAGAGAGAGAAAGAGAGTATTTGTGTCTTCTTTAATTAATGGATGGGTTAAGGCTGACCATAGTGGGAGTAACATAAACGGTATCATGCACGTGGGACTTGCAAAAATGCTTATGTGGCAGATAATTAAAGAAGAGAGAGAGGGTTATAGTAACATAGGTAGATACCGTATCATAATAAATGTTATGCTACTATGTGTCATGCATGAAAATAAATGAGACCACCTATGATACTAATCTATGATACTATGCACTATGAATGTAGAATGCCATGATACTAGTATATGATACTCCCGACTATGACCAGCCTAAGATGGCAGAGTGAGAGTGGCTAGCTACATGAAACAATGGATCCCATAAGGTGGTGGAGGTGAGAGTGGCTAGATGGAAAAATGGTGGAAGAGGAGTAAGAGGGAGAAGGAGATGAGCTTGGAGGAGAAGTGAAAGTGACGAAGAAAAGGGGTGGGAAAAGCTACTAGTCCAACCACCTCAATTATTGCGATTGCACTAGTGGTGTGCGGCGATATGAACCCGCCACTGGTAACTTTGATCAATTTTGATACAGCGAGGTGCCCTCCAAGCAATGACGGAGCTATGTTGGGGCCGGGGGGACCACTGCCCCCCCCCCCCAGCCTTTGATCAATTCCTGAAGAAAATTTATTTAGGGAGGCTTAGATTAGAATTTTTTTTAGCATTTGGCCCCCACAAACACTGAAGATTTTTGTTTCGCCCCCACAGTGATCTTCTGCTAGCTCCGCAACTGCCTCCAAGTGGTACCCAGTACACCGGCGAGCAACTTAGGAGCATCCGCCACTCATGCATTTAACCCACGGCTATTTTGGTAAGAATTTACTAGCAGCAGGTGAAATTTTGGGTCTGCCACTGATGTGTACACACCAATGGCGTGCGTAATTCCTACCCGCCACTAGTCTTTGGCCAAGATACCAATGGTGGGGTCCTGAGCCTACCCATCACGAATGTGACCCCACTTATATTTTTTTTCCTACTAGTGATTTATTGGATACAAAGATATAATACAACGAAAAAGATGAGAGATATATACTACAAATCTACCGTAGTAAAACATCAACGTATCTGTTTGGTAGACTCTTATTGATAATCACCTACTCCTACGAAGCCTAGGTTGAACAGAGTAAGAAAGGCAATCATTCACCTAACCATCCATCTTCCCAAGTGTACCTAAAGAGGTCACCTTAAAATATACCATTGTATTTAAGCTAAAATAGTAAATATATTAATATCTTATAAAAGGAAAAATATCGTCAAACTTATCACAAAAATGCAAAACCACCAATCATCTATCTGGTACATCCTCCTTTTATTAGTACCATGGGATATCAGTCACTAGCTTAAAAAGATATGGTGGTGTCACGAGATTGTAAATATTACATTGGTACAGACATGAAAAAAAAAATTATTGTTTGAATTCAATCAAATGGGATTAGAACCATATTGTTTCTAATCATGGAGTAAACTGCTAGATTTGTATTTCATTTTTAATAGGTGATCAGTTTTTTAAACAAGACACGTGAACAGTATGTTGAATGCATCACTTGCAAAAAAAGAAATAATTCTCTATTGCAGGACTTACGAAAGGGAACGCGAAAAATCAATCACCTGCAATGCATCACATGCCTTCTAGATGGATCGCCAAAGTCGAGCGTGCTGTTATGGCACATGCCACTGCCTGTATCATTCGAACCGTACATACTGATTGGGTACTCATAAGTAGTATCATACACGTTCACCATGATGGATTGCTTCCCCGCAAGCTGATGAAGCAACTTGTCAACAAGTGCTTCCATATCAAATATGGCACCTAGATAGCTGTTTGCAAGCAAAAGCAGCCAGTTAGAGAATCTGTTGCATAACATATGGCTGGAATAGGATGCTCATGTGGACTTTACCCTATGGCAGCTTGGATGCGCTCCTGCGGCCTCGCATTTCCGAGGGGCTCGGACTTGTACACAGAATATGTCAAGATCACACGGATGCGGCCATTCATTAGGAAAGGAGCAGTCAGAACACCCCTCCCAGATTCTCTAGCTCGTATGATGTTTTCGCGATCGTCCTGTATGAAAGCAAACCAAATGCCCCTCTTTAGCATCAAACAATGTTCCCAGGAAAATTAGCATGACACATAATTGATTCCAATCTACAATTATTCCTCAAAATAAATTAAAACAAAATAATAAGTAACCACACTGTAAGTTGGTAAAAACAATTACTGTTAAGACACTCCGCAAAAAAAAAACACAGCGCTTGAGCTGTAAAACCACATGGTGAGCATTAAGCACCAACACTTCCGTTTTGTACGGACGGACGGCACTAGGCTAAGAGCAAGTACAATAGAATAACATAGGCAGGTTGTAAGCCTTTTAATATTATATTTTGGATGAGTTAAAGGAGAGAGAGAAGAAGAGAGAAGGGAAGCGGGCTACTGATTAACAGTCGGCTGCAGCACGTGCTTCTAGGCATGTTGTGAGAGAGTGAGGTGGGCCATGTAGCAAAAAAGTAGTATATATTTATATGCAACTATTGGACTTGTTGGCTATAAAATTGGCTATAGATGATGTGAAAAGACCATATGGCTCGCTGTACTATTAACCATGCTCTAAAGGAAATAAAGCAAGCAAATCCTCACGCACAGCACCGGAGAGCATGTCAAATGAGATGACGTTCTTGTAGGCGTCCTGCGCGAAGATGACGGGGGCGTACTCCTCGTCCGGCTCGCGGACCATCGCGACGGCAGCGTCACCGGGCCCCTGCGAATTCGGAGACGAGTACATCTTCTTGATGCTCCACCCCTGCTGCCGCTCGAACTGGTCCCGCTCGGCGTGCGTGACCCGGACCGCGTACGCGACCCCGCTCATCAGCGGCCGCTCGAACGCCGTTCTCTCCGCGTACCTCGCGAACGTCGCCTGCAGCCAACGAAAACGAACACAATCGATTCCGTCGTCGCCGCTGAACGGAGAGCAGAGCGAGAAGAGGTTGAGCCAGCCGTACCTGGTTCATGGCGGATGGGTTCTGGGAGTGGTGGAAGGTGTTGACGAGGATGGCGAGGGCCTGGAGGTGGTTCATGCTGACGTTGAACTGATCCTGGAGCATGCGGGCGCGCTCGTCGCACATGCTGCCGAGCGAGTCCCGGCGCTTCTCGACGGAGTTGGAGTTGATGTAGTGGAAGGGCTGGAAGGAGGCGAGCGTGGAGCCGATGATCCAGAGCACCAGCAGCGACCGCCACCACCGGTCCCGCGCCATGCGCGAGCCGAAGTATTTGCTGTACACGTGGCTTCCCAGCATCTTGGCCCACTCCGATAGCGTGGCACCGGCTCCGAGCGGGGACAAGCAGGAGAAAGGGCCGGCCGGCGGCGACAAGACGTCCCACACGCCGACGGCGAAGAAGCTGGGCCGCTCTGGTAGGTGTTAAAAGAAATGATCACCTGTTAAAAATAAAGAAAAGTTTCCAAGGGTGCTGATAATTTTATTCATCTTAAGTGTCCTACATTTTCTTTAATTCAGGATGAAGTTTGGTCGGTGAACATAATTTCTTTCAGTTCTCGATTGACTCAAATTCATTCAACAAGAATGTCTGGGATCCAGGATGCAATTGCCAGTTAATGGCGATCTTGGAGCTACTTAATTAGACTGATGAGAAGATATTGGTTTGGGAAATAGCAAGTTGACACTAGAGAACAGATGATATTCTAGGTTTTTTCTTGACGGGACTATATTAATCAAGATAATTACCTGAGTTCCAGCTTCGTTTCTTGGCGATCTGCATATACAGGCATACAGCACTTAAGATGATTAGTCCTTGTTTATAAAGGCATCTTGTAAGTTGTGTACAAAATGGAATCTACTCTTTAAAAAAAGTTTATTAGTCCTACTAAACAACATGTTGTTTTTATATGCCTTAGACCACATTTCACTGGTAAGTGGTTGGTTGGAACACGCATGAAGCAGCTATCGTCCTACTTTTCATTTCCTATAGACGCCAAAGAGTTAGAGCATCTCCAGCCGTTCGGCCCCCCGGGGGCTTGAAATAGCGCCGTCTGGAGGTGCGCCGGCGAAAA